GTTTCTAAATGTGCTCTTGATGTTCCACCTGAAGCAATGGTAGATTCCTTGTAAGCACTGAGATTGTTCAGCTGGATCCCCAGGGTACCCCAAAACACAACAGGCACCAGAGAGTGACTGCCACCACCCTGACCTGAGGAGATATTTAGCTATGACAGTGCCAGTGATAAAAGTGAGTAGTCAGCCTATTAGCTGATAAACACCACCTGGGTTAGCTGGGAAGGAAAGCTAGGTTAAAAAAAGGAACAAATTCAAATGATCCTTCACTTAGTGTTCTTCTCATTCTTTCCATCCTCCTTTCTGACAAACACTGAAATTGAAAAATACATTAAAGTTCTCATTTATGCTTTGACTTACATAAGCAAAAACTGGTAGTTTATGTTTATGGCAAATTATAAGTATGAAATATTTGACAACTTTACATATTTAGAGGCTTGGAGGAGACATTAGGATTGTCAGGAGCCTTAGCCACATGGGTTTTAATACGCGTTTCTAACTCTCGCAGAGATGATGAAAAGTGTTTTACTGCTGGCTGAGCACTAATAGATTTGGAGCTGCTAGCTGCAGTCCACAGGCAGCCTGAAATGGTGAACTAACGTGCATTTAATTTTGCTCACTTGGTTTTAGCAAAACCAGGTGTAGTTATAATACTGTCATGTCAGCACCAGCAATCTGGGGGTTGAAGACTGCTGGAGTGTGATTGGTCAGTGAAGCCCTCTGGAAAATAAAAATCTAAAAATAAGCAAATGAAAGAAGAAAAACAGGCAGTTTAATGAAATAGGAAAAAAAATGAAAAATATCAGCAATAAAAGGCAGTGGCAGAATAAGCCCCAAACAGGACTGTCTTGAATAAACATCCACAAATCTTATTGCTGGGAAAAGATCAGGTGCTGCCAGGGCACCCTCTAAAATAACTCATTGATATCAGTGATCTGAGATACACCAGTATTCCTAATTTATATTTCAACCTTCCAGTAAGGATTTGGGTGCTGCATCCTCTCCTAGAACAAGAGCAATCCTAAACCCTTTAAGTTAGTCCTGGAAACACTTATTATCTGCATGGCCCTCATATTTCAAAACAAAAGAGGCGGAAACGCTTTTCAGGGAGGAAACGTAACATAAGCTACTTGGATATTTTACCATGGACTTTCACCTCTAAGTTTTGCAAGTAATAATGAGCTGGCAGAATGTCAGCAGAGGAGCTAAGGGTTAGCAACCCTAAGTGTGTACAGGAAAACAGAACCATTTAAGGCTGGTAGGAGAGTTGGTACCAGCAGGAACAGTCTAAAGAAGCAAAAGGCTAAAAAGGTAAAAGACTGGAAGACCCGAGCAGTGACAACTCTTCTGCAAATCAGGAACACGACCCTCTTCCTAAGCTCCAACTGTGTATCTCAGGTCATAAGGACTCAGACACACATTCCCATAGAAGAAGGATCCTGCAGAACACAAGCAAAAAAAGGCACCTCCCCGTCTACTGCAGGGTGAGGGAAAAGTGAGGGTGCTGCTGTGTTCTAAGCTCAACACACAAACCAGCAACAAGGCTAACACCAGCTTGGCTGACTGGCACCAGCACAGGGCAGCATCCTGGCAGGCAGACCATGAACCGGCCACAGCCTGAGCAGCTCTTGGTATTAACAAAAGGACCAAACACAAAAAATCACAATAGCTCATATTCACCCTTATAAATTTTGTAACTAATGATTTCACATCAGTTCAAAAGGGCCTTCCATAGCTCTCAGCCCAGCAGAGCCTGAAGCAGGGCCAGCTCTGAGCGGATAGTATATACATTCCCTTAACTGTCAGAACAATGTAGCATCATTTTGTCATCACCAGCAATAAGGACTCTCCCCACTGGCAACCTTGGAGAGCTCAGGGGAGGCTTTTAGAATCACATAAAAATATTCCTGGTCTTCACCACTGGGCAGAACTTTACCTTCTTCCTGAGGGAAAGTAAACCGAAGAAAGAAATATCTACTGTCTCTGAATGACTTGCAATAAGCACCAGTTTAAACTGAAATGTCAAACACACAAGTTTTTACCTGGAGTGTAGATTCAAAACCTGCTGGTAAATTACTATTTAACAGGAATCTCAGGGCATTAGAAGCACACTGCACACTACAGGCTTTTTTTATAGTAAGTAAAAGAGTCTAAACACCAGCTAAGGTTTAATTATGTGCTCATACACCTACTTGTAACAGGAGATTTTTGCAACTCACCCATGTACCAAAGCACTGTAGCAGTTTATGCCAGGTATGAGCAGAGTCCATAACATAGGTGTGTTGCCCTTCATCACGCTGGAGCTGCTCCTCAGCTGGGTGAACAATCCGACATGAAGCTCCATGCCGTGAAGGCAAAGCTGCCTCCTCTGCCAAATCAGCTGCTCTGCCTAGGGTACCCCAGCAGTGCTTTGCAGTCAAAATTGCAGATAAATCCAGAAGCCTTAGCAGCTGAAGAGCAGGAGTTGAGCTGAGAAACTTGTTTTTCCTGCCAAATAAATGGAGCAAATGAGTTCTGGGGAATGGAAGTTGAGGGTGCTGTGCAAAAGAAATGCATGTTGCTGTCTTCTGAAATGAGGACCTCAAAGGACTGGCTGTAGCAATTATATTAAATCAACTTCCTAGCCAAAGTTGCACTGTTGCACAATCATCTGTAGACAGTGTTATTTAAATTAAGAGCATTTTCTCTCAGCTTAGATCAAGCCAGTTCATAGTAAATATTTTAAAAATTAATATAAACTATTGCTGAAGTGAAATCAGAGCCTTGACAGCACACCATTAGCTGATTTCATGCAAGCCTTGAAAAAGCGACCTCTCAGCAAGACACATAAAGTTATGAGCAAGGTTTTTGTTTCTTGTGAGAAGATTTATTATTACCACTAATATTTCTAAAATTAATTTCTGAAGCAGTGTAACACTTCACTTTAGTGTGGCTGGCTCTTTGCTTGAGTACTATAAAGCACTTTGTCTGAATACTGTAAAGTTTTTTGCTGATAAAAGATACTGAGAACTTACACCCTCTTAAGCCTGGACTATTAAGTAGTCAAGGAAGATCTACCAGCTCCCAAGCTCGTTTGGTTTTTTTTACATTAACTTATGAATTTGTATGATGACTCATTAGACAGAACTTTTTTAACTTAGAGGATACATTTTTTTTGTTATTATAGAAGAAACTCGTGAAAAGTCAAGCCAGAGAATGGTGTTGGTAAGTGAAACTATCCATCAGAAGCAAGAACATTCAGAATTGGTGTTAAAAGTGTTCTGTCAGACTGACACAGATTTATTGCAAATAAAAATATGAAAGCATATAGACATTTGAGTTAAATTGTCTAGTGGGAATACCTATTGGAGTTTTCTTTCCCTGTATTGGGATTTAATTGTCATGCCATCTAAGGCAGGATCCACTCTTGGAATATTTGCTAATATAATCAATCATCTCCTATGTCCATATGGGGAAGGAAGGAGTAAGGAGAGGAAAGAGAGATGAAGCAAGGGAGCGAAGTGAGATCATATGACATATTTAGACTTGGCAGCATAGACGTATTTCTGTTGAAAAATCACTTCAGCTAATCTCATTTGTTTTATTCATATATCTGGTATAAATAATGATGCCAAACGTAACTTTCTGCCGTTAGAAACTCATAAAGACTCCAGACATATTACACAGCCATAAGGAATGAAGTTACTGCTGCTCAGCTGGAGGTTATCTGAGATGTAGTCGATGTCTTTGCACATATCCTCAGTCCAGTTTAGTACAAAGTGCAGTGGGGGTTGGATTCCAACTCACGGTTTAAGATAGCACTGATATTGAGGAAGAAATCAGCACCCTCCGAACAGCTTCAACAAACGACTTCCAGCCTAAGAGCAAGCTAAGCAGTCACAGCTTCTACACTGAAAACCTGTTGAACTCCTTCAACTCAGGATTTTGCCGTTTGTCTGATGGTACCATAAGAGGGTTGGGCAGTAAAGCCTTTCCACTACAATCTGCGTCTTCTAGAGTAGCCTATGGCCATGACCTGAGAAAATACATCCTGTTATGGTTTAACTGGCCATAACTGGAGATTCTTGAGACCTACAAAAGGAACTAGAAAGAGGGAACTGAAGGACTCAAGAGAGTGGGAAGAGACAGGGGTCAGTATTCCCTCCCACTTCCTGCCATAATCTATAAAAACCAGGAGAACCGGACACTCAGCCCCTTTTTTCCTGTGCCTTCCTCCTTGCTGCTGCTCAGAGGTCCTTCAACTTGCCATGTGCTCTCCAGAATCCAGCTCCATCAGGGGCTGCAAGGAGCCATGGACCCCTCTCCTGAAGTGGCCTTGCCACAAGCAACTTTCATGTGATCATCGAGATCAGTTTTGCATATATTTGTATATAAGTTTATATATCTGTTCTTTCTCCCTCCCTCTTCCTCCCTTTCTGTGTTACAGTAAATTTGTTCCAGTGTTAATTTCCAACCCTTAAGTCTCTCTTCCTTATTCCCATTTTATCTTCCCCTGGGAGAGTGGAGGGGGAGCAACAGGGAGCAATTCTGCCCTCCAGTTTGTGGTTCACGCTGATCACTAAACCAGGACAGAATGTTTGGCACCCAACTTGGGGCTCGAAATTAAGTTTATTTTGAAAGGATTGTCAGGTTGAAAATTGAAAAAAAAACCAAAAAAAAAAACAGCTTGATAATGGTGTTACTGAAAGACCTGATGCCTATATGTGCTCTGTTGTGACACTGTCCTATTTACTCCCTAAAGAGTTTTCCCATTTCGTTGAAGCACTGGTTTCTGCTGGGAGGAGCTGGGCTGAGGATTGGCTTGGGCAGTTCAAGGGCTACTTTATATATGGAGGCCCCGGGAATGGCTGTTGCTGTGCCCTCATGTGTGCCAGGGAACACGGCCGCAGGCTGCAGATGCCTCGCAGCTGCAACGCAGGAACCCGGCGTGGCCCAGGAAGCGCAGCAGGGATCGGGCCCCAGTAACATCCCACAGAAAGCACTGAAAGAAGTCAGAGCTCCCGATGAGGGATGAGGAGTTGGAGACAGGGAGAGAGGCAGGCACTGCTCAGAGAGAAAGTCAGCCTCAGGCAGGAGCAACACGCGATAGCGACTGGGACCCTGAGGTAATTGTTAAATCCACGTCCATGAAAGAGCTACAGGATGTAAGAAAGGATGATGCCCGTAAGGAGGATGAGTCATTGTTCACCATGCTATTGGTGGCATTGGGAATAGGTCTGGAGGGCAAGGAGGCTCAGCAGCTGGGCTCCTTAGCCAGAGATGCAGGCATTGATAAGGTTATTGGGAGGAAAAACAGTACTTACAATGTCTGGCACTGTCTTTTAATGGCTGTAAAAAGCTGATATGATGTCACCCTAGTAGGGGGAACACCACAGAAAGAGGTATTAATTATCTGAGAGAGCTGGCAGTCTGGGAGGTCATCTTTGGTAATGAGGATGCACCCAGAAATCCTGATGAACTATCATGCAGTAAAGCCCACCTTAGAGAAGCTCGCATAGTGTGCCTCTCCTAGGTACTCCACCATTTTGGGAGGAAGGGTCTTTGTAGGAAAAAAGGGGCTGAGTTTCTGGTTCTCCTGGCTTTACCGAGTATGGCAGGAAGTTGGAGGGAATACTCTATGACCTACCCTTTCCAGTCTTTCAGTTCTCTCTCTCTAGTTATTCTAACAGGTCACAAGAACCTGCCAGGGCCACTTAAACCATAACACATCCTAAGGCTCCACTTGCATCACGTTGTCAGGATTTATGGTCACTTCTCCATTCCTCTTATGAACAGGCAGAATTATCAGTCACCAAAACACAGATCAGCAAAGATTTGGTTCTGCCCCTCCAACCCTGTCAGACCTCAACTCCCTGGACATAGGACTTCTTGGAAGTCACAATGGTATGACATGTTAGCAGCTCAAGCCTCTTAAACTATCCCTTGGAGAGTTTTCCTCACACCTAGAAAAGTTTATAATGTCTTTGATGCAGTTGAGCATTCATTAGCTGTCCTGGTTTGAGCCAGGATAAAGCCAATTTTTCTTTTTACTGATTTTTTTTTTCCTTCACCAAGCTTTCTTGTAACTAGCAACAGTGTGTTCTGCTAGGCTGATAAGACAGTGGAATGTTTTTCTAACTACTGAGGCTTCAAGGCTGCACCTGCACTCTCCTGGCTCAGACACTATGGGGAGATCTGTGACCCCCCCGTAGGAGGCTGAGTTAGACAGACAGCAAAATTGGCCAAAGATATTCCATTCCATATATCTACGTAAGCTCAAAGGAAGGTCAGAGATCACAGAAGACAACTTCCTTCCTTCTTCTTCTCCCTTCTCTTCCGTCCATGGCCGGCGTCCAGGGAGGACTCTGTTCATCCATCACCGTCGATCCTCAGGCTTGATCTCTCGTGACCCCCATAACTCTCTGCTTTCTCCAGCAGCAGCTCCGGGATTCCTCGGGACTCTTCCCGGTTCAGGGAGGTGCTGTGGGAGTTGCTGGGATGGGGGGAGGCGAAAGGCTTTTGCCCATACCTGAATATATCTGTATATAATTGCATATATATTTTTTTTTTGTATGATTCATTAGTGTTTTAATTAAAGCTGTGTAGTTTAGTTTTCAATCCAGCCAAGTCTCTCTCTTTTTCTCTCTCTCCTTCCTTACCTGGGTGGGAGGGGGAGGGGATCGAGAGCATTGTTGTCGGACCTGAGTCAAACTGTGACATTAGCTTTCTACAAACAAGCAATTGAGCAAGCAAGGAAGAGTGGAAGAAAGGATGTCTATTGAGAAGACACAATACAATGTGGAAAGACTGGCACATCCTGACATTCAGGAATAACAAATGCACCTCTAGCACTTTCACTAGGTACTTGATCAATAGGTTTAACATGCTTGTTTGAAAAGTAATCACCAATCCAGACACAGCTTGTGTAGGTCAGGATAAGGGCAATGGAGAACAACTCTTTAAAACTACTTGACAGTAATTTGATTGAAAACAGAAAAAGTTGAGAAGCATGTTACTATTGCAACAGAAAAACAAAATCTCAAACCAAATATTTTTGTCAAAAACACTGGCAAAGCAGAACTAGTTGCTGTCATTTGAGGGACATTTGGTCCCTTATGCAGGCCAAGCTCCATGACCCAACTGCGTGTTCCCTTCTGCCTGAAGACATAATTTCTCCTCACTTGTTGAAAATCATTGCTTCTGGGAAACCAGGTTTATGGGGCAGACTAGGGCCATGAGGAAAATAAATTACAGTTTTCCTAAGGATTTGGCACAGCACTTCCAAAGCCAGAGGCAAAGGTTTTGGCTCATCTACTTCAATTTTCAGTGAAAAGTACCTATTTCTGCCAAAATACCACTGAAATCTGAGTGATTATTTTCTTACATCTTAATGATTGAAAATGTTACCTCCTCAAATTTTGTTAATTACCCTCCTTGAACTATAGCAAACAATGATGGACTAATCTTTCTTCTTACATTAAAAAGGAGAAAATGTGGTCCTATACAATTAATTTTGCTAGACTTTCAAACCTAGTAACAGCATTCTTCATAATTGATTTAGTCCCTCAATTCCACTTAAATTAGCTTTCTGCTTTAATTAAATTGCAACATATTTTATACCAAGAAAAAATCAGTCATTTTGAACTGCTGATATAATTGAAAAGTATCACCCCAATGCACAAGAGAATTCTGAGGTCTATAGCTATAAATAAGCTTAAGAGTTAATTTTATGCTTCTGTTTTCCCTAC